TTTATTGCATTTTAATCTAACATTATCAAAAAATTAAAATGCAATAAAAATTAAAATTTTAATAAAAAATGCTCAGAACCCCATTTTCCTAGCAAACCTCCCATATATTACTCATCAAATAAATTATTACATTGCATTGATAATAAATAATCCAAATAGTATATACCCATAAGATAGACCTATTGAGAATGGAACTAAAACATGTCTTTAATTAATGGTTATTGAATTTAACAAATAAAGAACCACAGTTTCCAATAAGTTACCGCCTTATGGCCGCTCTTGTCCAGAAAAATATTTTATCCTGATATAGATTTCTGTGAAAGTGACACGAAATGAATGGGATCATGACTGAATTTTCACGTGATCTAAATTTAAACATAAAATCAAAAAAAAAATAAAATCAAAATAATAAATCAAAATGCCGTTAGTTACAGCAACTCAACTTATCAAGTTACAGTCGAAAGAAGAAAATATTAGGAATATTTGTATATTAGCTCATGTAGATCATGGAAAGACAACTCTTTCAGATTCTCTCTTAGCTTCCAATGGGATTATTTCTAATAGGCTAGCGGGTAAAGTAAGATATCTTGATAGTAGAGAGGATGAACAAGAAAGAGGAATAACGATGGAAGCTAGTGGAATATCATTGTACTTCAACATCTTGAGGAACCTTGTGGAGGCACAAGGTATATATATATAAATATATTTTTTTTTGATCCAACACTCCTTTTTGAATTATATAAATTGTATTTAATTCTCTTCGTATAAATTAAAGAAAATAACATAAACTCTGATGAATATCTGATAAATCTTATTGATGCTCCTGGACACGTCGATTTTACCAGTGAAGTCTCGACAGCATCGAGACTATGTGATGGTGCATTAATCCTTGTTGATGTTGTCGAAGGAGTTTGTACACAGGTGTGATATTGGATTAACAAAATTAGATGTTTATTAGTAAAGTTTTTTTTATTAAGATTATTATTTAGAATTTGTAAGATATTAATTAATTTTAATAATAAAATAAAAATTTAAGAAAATAACGAAATTATATTAAAACTTCTTTTTTTTTAAAAAAAAATAATTTGATAAAAAAAGACACATGCGGTTCTCCGACAAGCATGGGTCGAAAATGTTCGACCTATTTTAGTGTTAAATAAAATTGACCGACTTATAACTGAATTGAGATTAAGTCCTCTTGAAGCATATGTTCATTTAAATAAAATTCTGGAACAAGTGAATGCTGTCATGGGAACTTTTTTTGCTGGCGATATGATGGAAGAGGAAACTAGAAGGCATGAAGCTGAAAAGGTGTGGTTTATATTTTTTTTTTATATATTATTGCATATATCAAATAAGGTGAATAAAAACCTAACTTCTTTGATATTTTAATAGGAACGACTTTCGCGACCTGGAAGTGAACAATCAGTGGAATCAAATAATACATCATTGGAAGATCGTGATGATTCCAACATTTATTTTACTCCAGATTCGGGAAATGTTGTTTTTGCATGTGCAATTGATGGTTGGGCGTTTAGGTAAGTTATCATCTCCGAATTTAATTATTCATTACGTCAAATTCTTCCTCCAAATCAAAAACATTTGTTTACAGTGATAATCGATCTGGATGATAGAGTCGAACAATTCGCTCAATTATATGCCGCAAAGTTGGGCATGAAAGAAAATAAACTACGTAAAGTCCTTTGGGGAGATTATTATCTTGAACCAAAAACGAAACGATTATTGCAACATAAACATTTGAAGGGTCGTCAATTGAAACCATTATTCGTCCAATTTGTTTTGGAGAACATTTGGGCAGTTTATGATTCTGTTGTTATTAACAAGTAAGTCATTATATTATAATATTTGGGAATGTTGCCAGTAATATCAAGTAGTGAACCATATGATTTGTAATATAATTTAGCTGGGCCACGCTCCCATATAATTCTATAATATTTATTTTTTATTTCTTATTTACAAATTAATAATCTAATCCGGACATTTTATTTAGCAATCGAGAAAAAATTGAAAAGATAGTTAAGACACTTAATTTGAAAATTTTACCAAGAGATATGAGATCGAAGGATACACGTGCTTTGTTAATATCAATGTTCAATCAATGGTTACCATTGTCAACAGCTATTTTGCATATCCTTTACTTTTACATTAAATCTAGTACAACAACAGGTTATTTGTTTATATTAAAATCTTTAACTTATCACACTAACTGTCATTGAACAGCTTCCATCTCCCGTATCCGCACAACATGTGCGTTTAAGAAGAATTCTATATCCTAATGCAAATATGACAGAAAAGCCTGCGAATGAAATTGAGAAATCTTTATTTAGTTGCGATTCTAGCGATTCTGCACCTATCATTGCCTATGTTTCAAAAATGTTTGCTATTCCTTCAGATATGCTACCAGAAAATAAGAGAAAACAATTAACAGCAGAAGAACTGAGGGAAAAAGGAAGGGCTCAAAGAGAAGCTCGTTTACTTGCTTCAAATGGTCAATCCGAAGAAACAATTTCTGATACATTCTCAACGATTTCATCCTTAAATCAAATGAAAAATTCCTTTCTTACGGATGAAAATGGTGAAGTTGCTCAACCAACACCTACCAAAGAAACTTTTATAGGTTTTGCTCGTCTTTATTCTGGAACTATCCGAATTGGTCAAAAACTATTTGTTTTAGGACCAAAATTTGATCCTGATTTTCCGGATAGATTTTGTTCTGAAGTAAAAGTTCAGAGTCTTTATCTAGTGATGGGACGAGAGTTAGAAGCTCTACAAGAAGTACCGGCTGGTAATGTTTTTGGTATTGGTGGTCTTGAAGGTCATATCTTGAAGAATGGCACTTTAAGTAGTACTAAAAAATGTAAAAATCTTGCTGGCGTTGCGATGAGGGTTAGTGCACATAAATATAATAGGAGGGAAGTTCTTTTGAATAATATTGTAATTTTTTTTTTTTTTTTAGTCTGCACCAATTGTTCGAGTTGCCCTTGAGCCCGTGGAACCATGTATATATTTCTTTAAATTTCTAAATGGTTTTTTATTTGTTTATTTGAATTTATTGAATCGGTTATGTCTTTTTTAATAGCCGAAATAGGAAAGCTTACTGAAGGACTTCGCTTGTTAAATCAAGCAGATCCATGTGTTGAAGTCCTTGTACAAGAAACAGGCGAACAAGTAATTTTAACGGCCGGTGAAGTGCACCTTGAGGTTTGTTTTCAGTAAACCTGAATTCTTAATGTTTTATGTATATGATAAGGCAATTAATTATTTGTAATCTACAATTTTTATAAAGCGGTGTTTACGAGATTTAAGAGAACGCTTTGCAAAAATCGAAATTCAAGTTTCTTCTCCTATAGTACCGTTTAGAGAAACAATAGTTCCTTTATCAGGTATTATTTTGGTATTTAGATTAATTCGTTTCTAAGAGGAAAATTAATTAAATAATTGATATATATATCTAAATAGATATTCACTCGAACAAAGAAAAAGATAGTGGTCAACGTGGTTTGGTTACGCTTTCAACGCCGAATAAATATTGCACTATCAAAGTGAGGGCGGTTCCGTTGCCACCAAATGTTACCACATTCCTTAGCAAAAATGCCATTACTATAAAGTCCATTTTAGATGAACGCCAACAACGTAATAAAGTCGAAACTCAATCCATAGAAGAGGAAGAAGATACTCTAAAGGATATGGCTTTTAAAGGGGAACGCATATTAGAAGTAGACGAATTTTTTGATCATTTGGAAGCCGAATTTAATAAAGTTGATGACAAAGAAATTTGGAAGGGTGTTTTTGATAAGTTTGTAATCTTTTTTTTTTAAAAAAAAAATCATTCATTTCTTTTTTACATTTATGACTGATTTACTTATTTAATTAAAATAGTATTTGGGCGTTTGGAACCAAACGTGTTGGACCGAATGTATTAGTAAATAATGTACCACATTATGAACGGAAATCGTATCTTTTTAATTTATTTTTCCTTTTGCATATGCATAGATATATATATATTAGTTCTAAACCATATATTTCGATAGATGGAGGAATATTTGCAGTGCATTGAAAAGTTCTGAAGCGATTCATCTAGAAGTAAATGAAGAAGAATTTCTTCTTGAACGTTCTTCACATAATTTATCGATCCGTGATTTTGTTGAAGGAATTCATACAGGGTTTCAACTTGCCACAAAATCAGGCCCACTTTGTGCTGAACCGTTAATGGGAGTGGCCTATTTTTTAGAAGATTTCACGATAAATATAGATAACAATAATTTGGATATATCCGAAAGTTTGTAGACAATTGTCTTGACTGTTTTAAAAAAAAAGAATTATAATTCATGAATTTTACTTCTTTCAGTACGAAATAAATTAGGTGGACAAGTTATTACTACAATGAGAGACGCATGTAATAAGGGATTTTTAGAATGGTCTCCAAGACTAATGTTGGCCATGTACTCTTGTGATATTCAAGCAACTGGTAAGTAAAGTTTGGACGATTTATTTAAATTAACCTATATTTTACTGATATAAAAAAAAAAAAAATAGCCGATACTTTAGGTCGTGTATATGGTGTAATATCAAGACGTCGAGGACGTATTATTTCCGAAGAACTAAAAGAAGGAACTCCATTTTTCCATATTTTTGCATCATTACCTGTAATAGAAAGCTTCGGATTTGCTGATGGTAAGTGATCTTTAAAGTTAAGTTTTTTTCTGTTTAATATTTATATTGATTTGTTACGATATCAATTAAACAGAAATAAGAAAGCGGACTTCTGGCACGGCTAGTCCACAACTAATCTTTAGCGGGTAACGAATTTATATTTGGTTAATCATTCCGTGTGATTATCAAACTAAATTTTTTATAATTTTTTTTTATGATTTGAGATTTGAGATGTTGGATGAAGATCCGTTTTGGGTTCCAACTACTGAAGAGGAGCTTGAAGATTTAGGAGAAAAGTCTGATAGAGAAAATCTTGCAAAGAAATATATGGAAAATGTAAGAAAACGCAAGGTAAAAAACATAATTAATTATTTCAAAAATGAAGCTCGTAATTAATTATATAATAAATTAAGAAATCTTCATTTATTTCAAATAGGGAATGTTTATAGATAGGAAAATAATTGAGCATGCAGAAAAACAGCGAACGTTGAAAAAGAAGTAAAAGGAATTAATTAATTATCATAATTCATGGAATATCTTCTTACAACCATAATTTTATTACCAATTGATTTTAATCGAACAATTTAGAAATTGCAGGTAATACGTTTGTAATTGTTTTGATAGATTATTTTGTACTCTTAAATTTAAGAATTATTCATATGATAAAGAAAAATTATTATGAATTGTGTTATTATAATATCTTAGCATAATTCAATGCTTTTCCTACTAAATTAAATTATATAACATTTGATCGATATGCTTTTTGAGACAAACTAGTGATGTAGTTATGTGTAAACCTATTAAATGGGGATAGACCACCGATCATATATAATGACTTAAAAAAGCTATCAAGCAAGAGAGAACACCTGCTCTCGATGCCTAGCAAATCAGCTAAGCAAAAAGGCGTTGATTCTGATGACATAACATTAAATTCCAATGTTTCTACCAAGGTTAAAATTTTATTTTATAAAATTGATGGGGCATTTTCTATTAAAAATCAAGTTTATGAACATATAATCTGTAACATGATTTTAATAGCATATGAAGTACATATCTTTCTTTTATCCTAATGAAACATAAATTATTATTTGATTGTGAAAATTTTTTAATTACAGTATAAGAAAATATTGTTGTCCATTTGTTCTGATTATTATCATCATAAAAAAGTTATATAAAAGATGGTACCACATCTCAAAAATAAAAGTTGAGGCTATATTCACAAGCCCGAAATTCTTTAACTAGTTGATTACAAGATTGGTTTGTTGTTTATTGAAAATTTGTTGCCAAAGAATATTCAAAGACGCGTTGATCAAATTCATTCGTTCGTTGGAACGAATGATCAATTTGAAAACATTTTTATTCGACTGACATAATAATGTTATATGCTATGACTACGTGTTATTATTTACACATATTGTATATTAGACATATCATGTGACATATAAATGGATTTAAACTTTCAGCATACATGTATTGTATTCTTTTCCAAAGTAATAATAAATCAATTTTCAGATAATGGACGAAGGTGCAATTCGAGTTTTCTTTCAACGTTACTTATTTAAAAACAAAAAAATTCATAAGCTGATATATAATATAATCTTACGTACTTCGGATTTCTATAGAACAAATCATACGTGACAGACTTTCTGTTGAAGAGAGGAATCTCCGCCGCGTTACTAGGAAACATGTCGCTTTAATGAATACTTTGGAACAAGGAAACATTAAAGATGCGTATGTGTTTGAACATTCTCTTTAACTTGTAGCTTTTTTTTTTATATATAAAATTAAACCTTTTTTTTGCATTTTGTAGTCGACAGCAGTTTAATGATTTCATGGTCGATTTCTCGTCGTATGAACTTACCCTTACTCGATTTCAAGCAATTCATGATATGAATTTGCAAGAAACACAGCATTGGAACGAAGAAGCTCGAAGAATTGGTATAATTTTCACCAATTTCATTTTCAATTTTATCATAAATAATTCTAATAATAAAAGTTATTTATATAGAACAAGAGATTGAGCAGACCATGTTGGTCATCAAGAATTTGGAGAAAGATTTGGCACAAGAAGAAGAAATACGTAGAAACAAAACAGAATATGATCAATTAGCGGTTGAAATTAATGAACAAAAAACTCGTGAGGAATCTTTAAAGTAGCTAATTCGATATTATATTATAATTCGTCAAATCGTAAATTTTGTAAATATGACTAATTACTTTGTTTTTTTTTAAAAAAAAAAAAAAAAAAAAAAAAAATAGTGCGATTGCAAAATTAGATGAAGAAATACTTTCGCTTGAAGAAAAAGATAGATTATTAGACGAAACATTAGATCGTCGTAGATCACAACTTCAACGTATACTAACAGTAGTACAGGAAGTACAAAGTGAGATTGTGGTAGAAAGAGAACAAACTCCTCAAGCTATTGGTGACGAGGAAGAAGCTGTTACAACACCTGATTCTATGAGAAGTGCAATCGTTTCACCAATTAATAATCCTTCTTCACCCGCAGAACAGGTTAATAGCAATAACAGCCCTCCACAAGTTAATGGTATTAATGGTGTTAATTCATCATCTAGCAATATAGCAGATGATGAGGAAAGTGATATTCATAGGAACAGTAGGAACAGGGATGATGATGAAAATAAACAAATCAATGAAACATCTCCACAACAACAAAGTCAGGAAGTTAGCTCTTCGGATAATTTAACTGAAGTTGGTGAAGAAATTGGTGAATTGGTTGCAGATGAAGAGATAGGGGTTCATAATGTCGATAATTATGATGATGATGATGCCTCAACAATTGAATCATCAGATGAGGCAGAACTGAATCAAAATGTCGAAATTGAGGATCTGGATGATGGGGATGTAGTAACAAGTGATAATGAAAAGAATACTGTAAAATTTGAGGAAGAGAATGATGATATTCCTTTGCATAGTGATGATGGTGATGATGGTGAAATCGTGGAAGATTCAGATGAAACTCCAAGGGGTGAAAAAAGAAAGCGAAGTGATGAGGAGAATGATGAAGATGACGACGATGATGAGGAAGGCTTAATAAAAGAAAAGGCTCCTCGATTATCTGACGATGATGAAGGATTAATAGAAGAAAGCGAAGAGGACGAGGGGGAAATAATTAAAGATGAACAATAATTAATTAATAGGTTTGTATTGTTTGTAATGAAGTATATATAATTGGTATAAGTCTCCTAGTTTTACTAATTCTTAATATTTTTTTTTAATCAGACAAATATCGAGTTGTAATTATTTATATAAATTTTTAATAAAATAAAAAAAAAAATAATAAAAAATAATAATACGATAATTTGATAAATTTACTTAATTTAGAAATAATTAGCTAAAATGTATATACCGCATTAATCAAATTAATAACCAATTTATTTATAACCTAATAATATCTTAAACAATTAAACAAATTAAGTGTGATTTATTTCTTTAAATCTTCCCAAGTAACAGTCTTTTTACCTGACATTGTTTTCTGTTTCATTACAACCACATTATCAATATCACTTTCTTGTTCATTGTTCTTTTTGGATGACCTCTTCAAAGGTGTTAAATTTTTATTGTAATATAAAGCCTAAAAAAAAGAATCAATTTAATGAATATCAATGTTAATTAATAAAAATAAATAAGAACTAATTTTTATCCTTACTCGATTGGGGACGTAAGTTATACCACTTTCTTCTAATAAAATTGCGATTTCTCGATCTTCCGGAGTTTGATGTTCATCATCAGAATACGAACTTTTTTGAATTCTTGCGGATCGTCTCACAGGAGTTATAACCTTTTCAACTCCAAATTCTACATTTACAACACATATAATTTACTTGATGATGCATTTATCGAATAATAACGATTAAAATTTTCATACCTTCTCTTTCCTTCTTGTTTGCTTTAACTGTGGTTAATAAAGTCAAAGAAGAATCAATTGATTTAGGAGTTTCTTGTTCAAAATTATCATTTTTTCTCGCTTTTCTCTTCATTTGAATATTGAACGATGAATCATCCAAACCCTCAACAAAATCCTTGCTTACAATGATATCATTACGACTTGTTTGCGATTGTTCGTTGAATTCGTTGTTTTCATTAAATATGCAACTTTCATATTCAAGTAATGCAGACAAGTCGTCATCTAACAAATCATCTTTATCATCCCAATAATAATTATTTTCGTCAAAATCATCTTGATACACCAATAACTCTTCATGTTCTAGATTAGGAATTGATTCGAACAATGAACCTAAAAACAAAACAACGATTTTAGGAAAATAATTAATAAATAAAACGCGCTGAAGATTTGTTATATACATATTCTGGCCAAGAATTTCTCCCGTTCCTCCTTGACTAACTGGGCAGGCTGTTGAAAATAATATTATAAAAAAATAATTTATTAATTTAAAAGGTTCGGTACATTTTTGACAATCTTAAATCATACCTTTGCGCTCAGTTCTTCAGCCTTCTCATATAATCGTAAAGCTTCTTCATAATGCATACAACGTTCCTCAAATTTAGCTCTTTCAATCCAATATTCAGCTTTTTCACATGGTGGAATTTTCTTCTTTGAAATTCCAACCTTTTTGGAGTGAGCAGGCCAATCTGCTTCTAAGATATAAAACATCGCTCGTGCCAACAATTCTGATCCCGTCTGAATAATAAAAGAATGATTGAATGATTAACAATTAAACTAATGTGCTGAAAGATAATGTTATCAGGCCTTTTTTTTTTAATTACCCAGGATACATGAACGGCATCTTTAATGGAAAAAAAAGAAATAGTTGGGATTGGAACGACTTGTTTATATTTTATATCATACGTATCAGGTTCATACACGATTAACACATAATGCTTTGTCCATTTGTCAAAGTCACTAAAATAAAAATTCATTATGTTACTTCGAATATATACTTCAAAAACACGCTTTTTTTTTTAATAAACTACTCACGGTTTAGATTTATCTTGGTTTAACAAAAAAGGTGATGTTTGAATCGAAATGTCTTTAAGGAACGGAGACGTCGTTTCACTAGTTTTTTGTAATTCAGGCGTTTGCCAATTTTCGGTAATTGAAGAACCATTTTCCATACATATGAGTTCACTAACACATTTGTCTTCCTTTTGGTCGAGGAAGGAATCATCGACACTTGATTTTTTAACTTGCGAAAAATCCAACAATCTACCAGTTTTCTTAACCGGTGCTTTAAAAGGTGTTGCCGCCAAGATAGAAAAGAAATGTCTTGCCTTAGCACCATCATTACTATTCTCTTCATTTGTAGTATCACTTGTATAGTCTGATACTTTAGGTGTGAGAAAATCAGTATCCTCATTATCTTCATCTCTTACAACTTTAATTCTTTGAGCTTTCCCAAATGATGAAATTATAGGGTTAATGGCCGGAGAATGTTTAGATGTCAGACGTGTTAATTTTGGTAAACGCGACGAAGAACTAGAAACATTATCTTTAGAATCATATATGAATTCACTACGTCGAATACTATTGCCTAACGGTTCTTTGGTGAAGAGTATAGTCGATGGAGGAGTTTGTGATATTTGTGGTGTGTTGTAAATTTTAGGTGTTGCTAATTTAAGTATTGGTTCCTTAACCTTAGTAGCATCATCAATTTCCTTCATTCTTTGAGCTTTTCCAAATGTTGAAATAAAAGGGTTAGGTGAACGTTTATGAGAAACTTTCAATAAGGAAATTGAAGGTGAACTGGCAGGAGTGTTATGCGTGTCACTCTCCGCAGACAGTATTAAATTTCGACTTTTTGTATTATTGACGATTTCATCAGGATTTTCATTAGTTATTGGTTTCACATTTACTCTTTGAGGCTTTCCAGATACCTTAATTGCAGGGCTCAAAAGTTTTGAAGGTGAATTAGTAGAAGTGGTATACATGGCACTTTCCGCAAACTTTACACGTTGGCTTTTTTTACTATTAACGATCCCATCAGTATTGTCAGCCATTGGTTTTACCATTATCCTTTGAAGCTTTCCGGATACCTTAATTGCAGGGTTCAAAGCTTTTGAAGGTGAAGCAACAGGAGTGCTAAACATGTCACTTTCCGCAACCATCATGTCACCTTGATTTTCTTTACTCTTAACGATTCCATCAGCATTTTCATAGGTTATTGGTTTTACTCTTTTCTTTTGAAGCTTTCCAGATACTTTAATTGCAGGGCTCAAAGCTTTTGAAAGTGAATCAGCAGGAGTACTGGCCATGTCGTTTTCCGCAAAAGTCATTACACTTTGACTTTTTTTAATATTATCAATCTCATCAGTACTATCATGAGTTATTGATTTCGTTCTTATTCTTTGAGGCTTTCCAGATGCTTTAATTGCAGGGCTTGAATGTATTGAGGAATGAATCTGACTAGGTCTTTTAGTAACTTCATCTGATTTAATTTTCCCCTTTTCAGTTGGTTGATTTATTGAAGATGAATCAGACTGATCTTTATTATCTATGGGTTCCAAAGGAACCAAAGATGTATCTTGTGCTGATTTTTGAGATAAATGTTTAATAGAATTTCGTGTTTGATATTTATTTAAATCTGGTTCATCATTATTCAACGATGATTGTTGCAAATATTCATTCGCACTTTTTATTTCAGCTTTTGTCATAGAACGGGTGAAATGATGTTTTTCTTCAGTTTTTTTTTTTACAACTGGCTTATCCTTCCCTTTATTATTTCTGTTTTTTAAAAAAAAAAGATGTTTTGATTTTGATGTATTTTTTTTTTTAAAATAAAAAAGGAACACGTAAAACTTACTGTAACTTTAGTTTCTCCGCTTTTTTACGTCTAAATTCTTCTAACAAACGACGACGCTCTTCTTGTTGATTAGTATTATTTTGTTGCTGTTTCATATCTTTTTGAGTAGTTGTATTATTTGAAGGAATTAAGGATTCTAATCGAGAAGTTTTCGCAGTCGTCCTAGTTTGTGGTTTAGGAGTAAAAACATGACTAAGTTTGTCGTTTTTCTTTTTATTCTCCTTATTCATTCTATATTTTATACAATGATAACGGCGGTCCTTTTTTTATTTTATATGAAAAAGTAAGTGTTCGCTTCAAGACGCGTAATAGTAAAGCTATAAAGTTTTAAGCTGAATATACTGTTAAGTTTGGCTTATTAATATATAGAACGAGAAACGCGTATAAAACCAAATCTCTGTGCATCAAGTCATGTGATAAGTAAACAATTTTTTAGATGTTAGCCAATCACATTGCGTAATTCAGTTTAGATTTGAAGAATTTGGCGGTTCGCTTCAAAGTCAACTCGATAACATATCAACGTTTTCCCATGAAAAAACTATATATTTTATTACAGGCATTTATTTACATAAACGACAATTCAGTGGAACTTCCATCCATTAATTAAGAATTTTACTTTTAATTTGATGTTGAATAATAAGAAATATTTTTTTTTGTTTGATTAATGTCATGTCTAATTTACTTAAAAGGATCACAATACCACTGTTTCATTAAAGATTAGGAGAAACATCTTTGAAACATTAAATGTTTGCTTACAAATAAAGTTTATTTATTTAAGAAATAGTGTGCATCATAACTGCGGCGTTTAAATTTAAACAAAGTATTCTTTGTGTTGTGCATGATAAGGTTAGTTCTTAAAAAGATTTATGGAAAGTCTTTTACAAATAAAAATGAATTCAATATTTTGAACAAATAATAATAACGGTAAATAATAAATCAAAGAAAAAGGGTGAAATCAATTTTTACAGCTAGGAAATTTAAATGTATAAGTAAGGATAAAATCCTGTCCAAAAGGAATGAATAGATTCTTTTTTTTTAAAAAAAAATAAAATAAAATAAAATGAAAATTCCTTCTTTCCCGTTTGCTGAATTCCCAGAATCATCAATTAAGACCAAATAAGTAATCTTGAAACTTTTAATTATTTGAATTGAAACTAATAAAGATTATAATAAAATTAGAATAACGATAAATTATGATTCCTTATTTTTTTTTTTCTTTTTTTTTTCCAAGTGTTTATTCAGATCGCCACAATTTGAAAAGAAAGACCGATCGACATCACATGACTTTTCCCTTTTTCATTACCTTTTTGCTTGTTCCTAAAATGAAAAAAAAAGAAGATACCATTATAAGATGGTTAATAAGTGTGACAAAGGGAAAACGATTACGCCTTTGTCCAAGAGTTATTTTCTTTACCACACATTAATTTAAATATTGATTTTTGAAGACTTTGTTGAATTTAAGCAAAGAGAAAGAAATATACTCTTGACGATTCAAGTATATATAGTACTGAACAAGACATTGAAAGCAAAATTTTAACCCAACGTAAAATTTCATTTTTTTTTTGAACCAAAAAAAATATTTTATTATTCACACTCATTCCGAACGCGCGTTAATTATTTACATTTAACTTGAACTTAATGACGAAGTTTTTTATAGGCTTAACTTAATTTATAACATTTCCTCAGAGTTTCATCAATACGAATATTCTGTTAACTAATCTTTATTGAAATTAAATGTGATTACTGCTTTTTTTCAAAATAGTTAATCCGGAACAGCAAATTAAGATTCTTGGTACAATTCACGGCATAAATGAGAACAAGTTGTACATAGTGTATACGCGTGCCTGATTTCTTTTGAATCATTAGTTCACTAAATACCTAAATACATCATTATTTATTTAAACAATAATAGAATACTCCCATTAAACCTTTAGATAGACCATACAAGCGTCGCACATTGCATGCACAAGACGCTAGCCTTCCATAAAAAAAACGCGTGGACTTGATTCCTTTTTTTGGTAAAAGAAAAGGAAAAAAAAAGGGTTTTCCCGTTCATCTTCCAATGATATGAGAAATTGGGGAATTCCTTGTAACAATAAGGTCGTTGTCTAACCCGTATGTATTATTTACCTACCTGAATTACATATTATTAAACAAATATTCGTTCTTTTTTCTCATCAACGTAGCCGTGTACCGCAGTATTCTCAAATTCTCAAATCCTGATGGTCCGTGTCATGTCAACAAGTAGGACGGTGACACAGTTTAAGAAATTCATTGTCTACGACATATTTCTTTATCTAATCTTGAAACTAACAATTAATATACTTTAATGATTGTAGGTTGTCAAGATTTTTATTGACATCATAACAAATATTTCGATTAGAAAAACATCTTTTTTCTTTTTGCAAATAATCTTCAAGTATTATGTACTGTACATATCATAGGTAAGTAAATACCAAAATAATTTATTTTATCTTTTCCTTGAAAATAAAAATAAAATAAAAATAAAAAAAAATAAAAAAAAATATAACCATAAAGTAAAATTGTTTCTCTGATTTTTTAACATTAAACGTTTATCATAAGCACGACCACTTTGAAACATCTCACATAAATTCAAAACAAATTCAAGGAAAAGGGATTTTTTTTTAAAAAAAACAAAGAGAAGAAAATCTCCTTGTTCATTAGTTACGGTTTTTTTTAACTTTACAATGAATTACAACAAGCAACGTTACAAATAATAACTTAAATTGCAGGTAAGGTGGTGAATTATTTAACATCCGATATCATTGGAATATATTATTTGCTGTTATACACAACTCTTTTGTAACATATGATTATAAAGAAATGAAAGTGTGTATAAATATTTATCGTAGTACAATACGATTTACATCATGACAAGGACAAAGGGATGTACTTTTGGTTGTAACACAAAACAAAAACGTGGATTAACGTGAGAGAATTTACCCCGTAAAGATTTGCAAAAAAAATATTTCGTCATAGTGAGCTTACCAGTAAGGAAAGTTGAAAATGTGGGGATATTTCTTTCCTTCAGAAGAATACTTCCAAAAAGGGCTTTATTTTTCAGGAATGGCATCAGAGATATCAGAGATTCTTGAGATACCTCTTGATTTATTCTTATGGTCCTGATCTTAGAGTTTAATTATTACTAAGATCGATTCATAATTTATGTCACCATCGTTTTTTGGTTATAAATCTTAAATTTAAAATTAGAAACAAAATCGTAGTTATTTTTGCCACATAATTACTTTTATTTTACAAAGGGAAACATTACAAAGGAATCAAGTAAAGAATTTCATTTCATGTTCTTTGTTTAATTGAAGAGAGATAATGTAACGTTTTACGATGTAAATCTCGAATTTAAAAATAAAGTTGTCTATTGAGATTAATTAATTAGTGTGTAAGAATATCACCACATGGCAATTATGAGGTGCCGAAAATGAACAACAAACCCTTAAAAAATAAAGATGGCAACTAATTAAAATAATTAAAATTTTCATGCTCCACTTTATTTTTTTTGGTAACACAAACTAAACAAAGAGGAAAATCATATTTCCTAATTTGTCGGACAGTATTGATACGATATATTAGGATACATTATGTGATAGTACAAAGACTTGTTTTATGATTATGGACTCTGATAAACTATTAAGATCTTCTTCTGTATTGTAAAATTTTAAACCTTCCGTTAATTGGATCAACCGTTTAACAGGTAACGGTCAAATCGCAAAAAAAAAAACTATAAAAGAAAGTAGTATGAAGACTTCAAAATTCTCATCCAATTTTTTGCGCAATCATTTCAATACAATTTTTTTTTCTTACTTTGCTCTGCGAGCGAAAAACTTTTTCAATTAAAATAAAAGCGAGTTATATTTCTTATTTTTTTCTCAACATCATTCAACTTTTTTTTTTCTCAATAAAACAAAAAGATGGCTTCAACCACAGTTCAAGAAACACAAGCTCCCTCTCCCACAAATACAATAACTTCTGATAATAGTTCACCAGTGACAAAATTTAGACAAATAGCTCCAGCTCCAACAGGAAAACCTGAATATGACATTTATCATATTCCAAAAGGCTATGAAGTTTTATTAGTACCAAAGAATAATGATATTTCAAATAATTCAAATGTTGTGGATGCTAATCCAATTCCACTTTCCCCAACTTCTTCTTCCGCTTCTTCAAATTGTTGTTCTTCCCCTAAAATTAAAGTCTCCAAGTCAACTTTAGATAACAAAAGTTCATCTCCAAGTTCTTGGAGAAAGAGAAAAAATAATGGACATATTCCACGTCCTAAAAATTGTTTTATGGCATATCGTGAACAAATGCAACATAACATTTTAGCTGAAAATCCTGGAATGAATAATAAATTGGTTTCAGTTATCGCTGCTAAAATGTGGAATAGTGAATCCGAAGATGTTAAACAATACTGGAAAGAACACGCTCAACAATTGAAAATTGAACATATGAACAAATACCCTGATTATAAATTTGCCCCTAAAAAGAAAGCACAAAAAAACTTGAACGCTTTAAACTCTTCTCTTGGTATAAAAGCTCCTAAAAATATTCAAAAGAAATATCCATCTCAATCTCAAATTTTTTCAAATGAAATTTCAAGAAGAAACGTTGAAAATTATTTAATTGATCATTCTCATACTGAAAATACCTCAGCTTATTGGACTGGTCATTTCAGATCAAGTTCTGTTGAATCTGCTAGTAGTTGGACAAGTAATGATTCCATTCCAAATACTCCTCCTACTTTTTGCGATCGTTCTTCTCTTCGTTATGAGTCAAATGATTGGGATAGAATGTATGATGATTTTTCTTTGAATATCGATCCTAATTCACATTTAACTGCTGTTTCAAGTGCTGCTGCTGGATTTTATGAAACTTTGTTGCCTTCTGATTATAATAACTCGATTCAAGTCGATAGTTCAGAAAGTTCTTATTATATTACTGAAGAAGAAGATAATTATGAAGATTATCTCCAACAAGATACCAATCAACTTTTGAATACTCTTGTTTTGACCTCTCAGACATACTAAACGAAACCGGTTTATCCAATATCATGAGGTTCGATTTTGTTTCACCGAATCGCTGGACGTTTCTAAAAATATTCACAACTCGTTGATATTTTATTGAAAAGAATTTCGCTCATGAGAAGAAAAAAAAAAATACTGCGCAAATATTTTGGACCCTTTACATAGAACAATATAGAAGAAAAAAAAAAAGTCATTTTTTCGTAAATACACTTGTTTATAACATTTCATTTCTTGCATTTCAAAAATCACTTCAAAAAAAAACAGAAATATCATCTTTGTATTTAAATTCCGATTTATAGAATGTGAATTTCTTTCCCCTTTTTTACCCATTTGTATTTTTTCCTCACCATATAGAGTATATATTCATAGACTTGATGAAAAAAAATATTTCCTATCACTTACATTGGTTTATTTTTTTTCATCGCATTTTTTATCATCTTTTGCATAATACATATTGTAATTAACATATAGACTTTAAATAGCATTTAGCATACACTCATTTAGCATTTACATAGCATTGGCATGGCATTGTTTATACTTTAGCATCTGTATCATTCTTAGCAATTTTTTCATTTTTTTTCATTTAATTTTTTCATTTCATTTTTCAATTTTCATTTGCATTTTTCATAATTTTTTTTTCTCGTTGCATTATTTTACTTTTATTATCGCATTTTTATATTTTTTATCTTCATCATACATCATCTTTACATATTTCATGGGACAATTTGTATTTGAATACTACATATATTATATTTTAAATATTTCATTCCAAAAATTAAGAAACAACAAACTTTTAAGTTAAAATTCTACACCGACTTACAAAATAAATTACAAAAAAAAAAAGGTTAGTATTTAAATACAAATTAAAATAAATAAATAAATATATATAGTTTTTAGATAGGTTTTTCTTTTAGAGGGTTTAGGTTTTCTTTTTCTTTCGTTTTTATACATTTTTATTTCTAGATATATATAATATAGACCAATCTTTTAAAAATAAATTGAATTAAACGATTACTTTTTCTTTAAAAAAAAAAAAAAAATTTATTGAAGTTTTTCATTATATCGTATTTAAACATTTGTTGTCATGATACGAATAATTTGATGTATTATTATGGAATAACGTATACATAAGTTGGAAATTTCGCACTTCATTCCAATAATTCCATTTCTCTTATTATTGCGTATGTATGTTGAGATTTTTCTTAAGACCGCCAGTCCCGAAATTTAAATCATGAAAGCAATCTCTTCGATCTTTGTTCTGAAAGTTTTAGTCATTTTTAGTTGCATTTGTTTCGTATTCCGCTTAACTTTCTGGATGCGAATAAAAAAAGTAAATTATCAACTTCGCTCACTTATTTTTTACGGTAATGTTCAAAGCTGATTTTTATCACGTAAAGTTGGAATTTTTTTGAATAAAGAAATTGCAAAGAATTAGAAATTGTATCTATAATAAGGCTATGTATTAATCAGAATTATAAAAAAATAAATTTTTATTTTCACATAAGTTTTTATTTACAGTAACCTATAAAAAACATGATTTTATATTTAAAGCTTAGAAATTTTTTTTAGGCAAACCAGCTATTCCAACAAGCTAAAAATCCGAGCATCTCTCTGATTACTAAAAATCATTATTTTAATATCCAAATAAACAGATATCTGCTTGACAGTTCTGACTTCTACATCAATACTTTTGTATCACCCTCTGCCACGGCAGCCACCCGGAAATAGCAATGTAAACTTTATCTCTATCATCATTGGTGTATTTGATAGACGCACCATTTGACAAGTCCTGGAGCATATAAGCAAAAATCGGCCAACCTACGCGCCAGCTATAGGCATAATAGCCACCATTCTTCATTATCATTTCATAGGTCTTATTTTCGCTTAATCCGCCAGTCGAAAAGCTTGTGCGGTATTTGTCATCAATATCAATACGGCATTTGGTCATTTTCAGAACCATAAGTTTGGATTTTGGAATAGTGATAACATCGTAGTTGCGAGTACAATTTGCAACATAAGCGTGGATCAATATGGTGTTGATAGTGTTGGTAAATTGGAAAAGTATCACATCCCGATATGAGCTCTCGTTTAAGGTGTTGAACAGGAACTCTGTCCCACTGTGGTCTGAGATCATTTATCCATCTGACAGATTGTATAAGACCTCTTCGGAAAGGTCAGAGAGTTTTTGAGCGGCGTTGTCAATGGGAACGAGATTCGAAATCTTCACAAACTTGCATGCTTGAATGATTTAAATTTCGGGACTGGCGGTCTTAAGAAAAATCTCAACATACATACGCAAAATTTAGACAAATAGCTCCAGCTCCAACAGGAAAACCTGAATATGACATTTATCATATTCCAAAAGGCTATGAAGTTTTATTAGTACCAAAGAATAATGATATTTCAAATAATTCAAATGTTGTGGATGCTAATCCAATTCCACTTTCCCCAACTTCTTCTTCCGCTTCTTCAAATTGTTGTTCTTCCCCTAAAATTAAAGTCTCCAAGTCAACTTTAGATAACAAAAGTTCATCTCCAAGTTCTTGGAGAAAGAGAAAAAATAATGGACATATTCCACGTCCTAAAAATTGTTTTATGGCATATCGTGAACAAATGCAACATAACATTTTAGCTGAAAATCCTGGAATGAATAATAAATTGGTTTCAGTTATCGCTGCTAAAATGTGGAATAGTGAATCCGAAGATGTTAAACAATACTGGAAAGAACACGCTCAACAATTGAAAATTGAACATATGAACAAATACCCTGATTATAAATTTGCCCCTAAAAAGAAAGCACAAAAAAACTTGAACGCTTTAAACTCTTCTCTTGGTATAAAAGCTCCTAAAAATATTCAAAAGAAATATCCATCTCAATCTCAAATTTTTTCAAATGAAATTTCAAGAAGAAACGTTGAAAATTATTTAATTGATCATTCTCATACTGAAAATACCTCAGCTTATTGGACTGGTCATTTCAGATCAAGTTCTGTTGAATCTGCTAGTAGTTGGACAAGTAATGATTCCATTCCAAATACTCCTCCTACTTTTTGCGATCGTTCTTCTCTTCGTTATGAGTCAAATGATTGGGATAGAATGTATGATGATTTTTCTTTGAATATCGATCCTAATTCACATTTAACTGCTGTTTCAAGTGCTGCTGCTGGATTTTATGAAACTTTGTTGCCTTCTGATTATAATAACTCGATTCAAGTCGATAGTTCAGAAAGTTCTTATTATATTACTGAAGAAGAAGATAATTATGAAGATTATCTCCAACAAGATACCAATCAACTTTTGAATACTCTTGTTTTGACCTCTCAGACATACTAAACGAAACCGGTTTATCCAATATCATGAGGTTCGATTTTGTTTCACCGAATCGCTGGACGTTTCTAAAAATATTCACAACTCGTTGATATTTTATTGAAAAGAATTTCGCTCATGAGAAGAAAAAAAAAAATACTGCGCAAATATTTTGGACCCTTTACATAGAACAATATAGAAGAAAAAAAAAAAGTCATTTTTTCGTAAATACACTTGTTTATAACATTTCATTTCTTGCATTTCAAAAATCACTTCAAAAAAAAACAGAAATATCATCTTTGTATTTAAATTCCGATTTATAGAATGTGAATTTCTTTCCCCTTTTTTACCCATTTGTATTTTTTCCTCACCATATAGAGTATATATTCATAGACTTGATGAAAAAAAATATTTCCTATCACTTACATTGGTTTATTTTTTTTCATCGCATTTTTTATCATCTTTTGCATAATACATATTGTAATTAACATATAGACTTTAAATAGCATTTAGCATACACTCATTTAGCATTTACATAGCATTGGCATGGCATTGTTTATACTTTAGCATCTGTATCATTCTTAGCAATTTTTTCATTTTTTTTCATTTAATTTTTTCATTTCATTTTTCAATTTTCATTTGCATTTTTCATAATTTTTTTTTCTCGTTGCATTATTTTACTTTTATTATCGCATTTTTATATTTTTTATCTTCATCATACATCATCTTTACATATTTCATGGGACAATTTGTATTTGAATACTACATATATTATATTTTAAATATTTCATTCCAAAAATTAAGAAACAACAAACTTTTAAGTTAAAATTCTACACCGACTTACAAAATAAATTACAAAAAAAAAAAGGTTAGTATTTAAATACAAATTAAAATAAATAAATAAATATATATAGTTTTTAGATAGGTTTTTCTTTTAGAGGGTTTAGGTTTTCTTTTTCTTTCGTTTTTATACATTTTTATTTCTAGATATATATAATATAGACCAATCTTTTAAAAATAAATTGAATTAAACGATTACTTTTTCTTTAAAAAAAAAAAAAAAATTTATTGAAGTTTTTCATTATATCGTATTTAAACATTTGTTGTCATGATACGAATAATTTGATGTATTATTATGGAATAACGTATACATAAGTTGGAAATTTCGCACTTCATTCCAATAATTCCATTTCTCTTATTATTGCGTATGTATGTTGAGATTTTTCTTAAGACCGCCAGTCCCGAAATTTAAATCATGAAAGCAATCTCTTCGATCTTTGTTCTGAAAGTTTTAGTCATTTTTAGTTGCATTTGTTTCGTATTCCGCTTAACTTTCTGGATGCGAATAAAAAAAGTAAATTATCAACTTCGCTCACTTATTTTTTACGGTAATGTTCAAAGCTGATTTTTATCACGTAAAGTTGGAATTTTTTTGAATAAAGAAATTGCAAAGAATTAGAAATTGTATCTATAATAAGGCTATGTATTAATCAGAATTATAAAAAAATAAATTTTTATTTTCACATAAGTTTTTATTTACAGTAACCTATAAAAAACATGATTTTATATTTAAAGCTTAGAAATTTTTTTTAGGCAAACCAGCTATTCCAACAAGCTAAAAATCCGAGCATCTCTCTGATTACTAAAAATCATTATTTTAATATCCAAATAAACAGATATCTGCTTGACAGTTCTGACTTCTACATCAATACTTTTGTATCACCCTCTGCCACGGCAGCCACCCGGAAATAGCAATGTAAACTTTATCTCTATCATCATTGGTGTATTTGATAGACGCACCATTTGACAAGTCCTGGAGCATATAAGCAAAAATCGGCCAACCTACGCGCCAGCTATAGGCATAATAGCCACCATTCTTCATTATCATTTCATAGGTCTTATTTTCGCTTAATCCGCCAGTCGAAAAGCTTGTGCGGTATTTGTCATCAATATCAATACGGCATTTGGTCATTTTCAGAACCATAAGTTTGGATTTTGGAATAGTGATAACATCGTAGTTGCGAGTACAATTTGCAACATAAGCGTGGATCAATATGGTGTTGATAGTGTTGGTAAATTGGAAAAGTATCACATCCCGATATGAGCTCTCGTTTAAGGTGTTGAACAGGAACTCTGTCCCACTGTGGTCTGAGATCATTTATCCATCTGACAGATTGTATAAGACCTCTTCGGAAAGGTCAGAGAGTTTTTGAGCGGCGTTGTCAATGGGAACGAGATTCGAAATCTTCACAAACTTGCATGCTTGAATGACTTGATTTTCCAATTTTGTCCATGAAATCTCCATAATTTTTGTGAAAAGGTTTTCTTGGTCTATTATGGAGCTTAGAAAAATCGGGTTTTCACCCACGCGGGTCATTGTAGCAACGCGGAAGGTAAGCATTTTGTTTTTAATTTGCACATGCATAATTGTCAAATCATTATCATCATTAATAGGTATTCCACCAGACGTTTTACGAGACATGTCTTCATTATGGAAAAGGAGTCTTTGGACCTCAACGTCAGCATCGTTGAGGGCGTCATAAAGTCCTACACCGGCAAACAATGTTCCAATAATAGCAACTGGTGTTCCTCAGGGCAATTTTATCCTTGTCTTCACCAATAACGAGATCAAACGGATAATATAAGTCATAGAATATTCCAAACGTGCGGGCTGTGGTGGGATAATTTGAATCATCGACCTTGTTAACTGTTCCCCAGCAGAGTTTGTTTTAATTTTTATTCCCTTGGCCGTCAACGGTCCATTGCCAGAAGGCACGGACCTGAGTTCCAAACTTAAGTTCCGTCTCCGCTACGAGGTAAAATGCCTTGTAGATAGCATAAGGATCATAATGCATCCAGCCAAAATAGATGTACATTCTTACGAAGCTGTACCAGGAACGAATATTAATTTCTGATTAATTTTTTTTAGTAAATCGGATGAGCTTACTCTTGGTATTATGTCAGATAGATTAAGAGAGGAAGCGTGTGAAGATATGGTATGCTTATTTTTTTTATAGATGTGTTGAATTAATGCAATGCAAGCAATGCCGAACCTGATTTATCATCAGTGAGAATGAGTTTCATACATTGGAAGCGCATTTCGCTATCCAAAAAGGTGCTCAAAATGATTGTCATCTGACCATAATAATTTGCTGTATATAGAATAAACAAACCGCTTTTGCCATTGAAACCTTTGCGCATCTCACAAATAATCAGTTATGTCAAATTAGTTTGTGAATGAGAAATTTTATATTAACTTGTTTAAACTTAAAAGTTTTGATATTTCTAAAATAGTCATATGTGTTCACAATAGATACAATAGATAATTCGAAATTCACACACAAAACTTACATGAGAAAATGATAGAGAAGCAGAGTTTAAAGGGAAGAATGAAGCATAAATGCCTGCTGAGCCTTAACCCATATAATGCCGGTTCCTTTCCCAATACTCAGTATTATTATCTAAACATCTGCTAATTAAATTACTGTACTATATTTCGAATCACTATAGATTTCATTCTTAATTTTGCTAATCTCTGCAGTGGAATTAACGTTAACTTCAGAAATATATGTGGAACATTTTTTGTTTATTTTAATAAAGATCTTTTCGATTTTCAAAGTATTGTTTCTTATCTTAAGTTCGTTTAAATTTGATCATATGGTAGTGATCCTAATGAATATCATTGGACTAACAAGTAAAAAAATACCGAAAATTGGCATGCTTCCCGAAGAATTGAATAATGCCAAACTGGATATGATTAAATAAAGCAAGCGTAGTAAATTTATTGAGAAGCTTATTGATAGATCAAATTAGAGTTTTAGATAGTAACAAAGATTTTTTTTATAATATCACGCTACTTTTTTATACTCAAGGACATACGTTTCACATAAATTTTTAACATGTTGCTATATCTAACATCAAAATCTTATGAATTTCGGCTTTATGGCAAACTAAATTCTACTAATGAAGAAAGGTGGTATCATAAAATTTATCATTTATTTCTTGACCCCCTTATAAAACATAAATCACAATTAGTGCTAAAAAAATAAAGCAAGATTTCTAGAGCTTCTTCAAGGATCATTTGATCTATTAATCATCATATTTGTTCATTTTGAAAGAAGATTGCAAGTAAGATAAATCAGCAATTTAAATCAAATTATTCTGTATATCCAATGTATCCAATGTAATCAAAAATTCAATAATGTACTAAAAAATTACTTAGTAAATATTCTATATTATATAAATGTCATTATATGATAATCATCTAAGTATCAATTAAACTTATTTTTTTAAAACAATGCATAATTATATTTATTTAATACCAGATGGTAAAAGGATCAGAAATGAAAAAAAGTGTTATGAAGAGTTTAGAATAAAATACTGATAGAAATCAGGTAAATATTATCTATCTCTTTTTATTTATTTTAATTTATAGAGTATAATATTAAGTTTTTAACTAATATTATAAAAACTAAATATAACTAGAGAACAGAAACCGTTGGACAAGTCCGGAGCAAAATTTAACCAATAAAAAGACAGATCAAATTCATTATAGTATTTAATTAAATTAAAATTTTATTCTATTTAATTTATTTTTGAGATTAATTAATACTATTTTAGATGATGTAAAAAAAGCATATGTAAAAAAGTATATATTTTTTTTAATAAATAAAGTATTAAATAAATTGAACAAATTTAATTATAAAATCCAAGGGCTCACATTGGCAAAGGCAAAGGATAGATATAGGAAGCAAAGAATTCGCAACAGGTCTTTCATTCATCACAATTTCACGAATTTACTCACTCAGTGACATATACTTCAAGCAGTTCACTTTCGATCGTCTTCAGCACATAAAAAACAGTAGAAGACTACATGAAAGGAAGAAAGAGGAAGCGCATTTACTCTTTCAGGTACCCTTAATAGCAAATTTAGGCTTTTATTTTTAGTACACGATCATGGAAGTTGCAAAAAATAAAAATAAAAAAAAACAAAATATATGTTTAAACATAATCATATTTTATTCTATTTTCGCAAAAATATTGTTATTATTAGTTATACATAATAAAAGTGAGAAATAAAAAAAATTAAAAAAAAAAATTTTTTTCGATGTGAATATTTGTTAAATTTGATTATTAATACATTGCTTTTTGGAATCAGTGATACAAAACTAACCCACTAATCCACATCGACCCAAGCTGCGGGCGGATGGACAATGTGATATTTTTGTGTCACTATACATAGTATTTAATAGTCCTTCACTTTGCTCCGAACTAATAAAATATATAGAGCAATTAAGTGAATCAAGTGACTTAGACAATTTTAAGTTTGAATTTGATAATAGGTTCTGCAAATTTGACATAGAATAAATGGAGATGAATATTGGTCTAGTTATTAATAATCAAAAAATTGATATATTCAAGATGTTTGTAATCAAGAGAAGAATAAAGAAGAATATTTAGATTTTGGAAATAATCAAGAATTGATAATTATAGGATACATAGAGTAAATTCAATAGTAAATTCTATAGAGAAGAATAAAAAAAAATATTTGAATTTTGAAAATAATAAGAAATTAATAATCAATAATAAAGTAATTGATAGAAGAAATTTAAGTTCAAATTCTTTGTAGAATATAATGACATACTTCAAAAGATTGTACTTTAATACATAAGAAATCACAAATATTATTTAACTTAATAATAAGAAAATTATCTAAGTCATAAATAAGTCTTTTTGTTAGTAAAATAAAACAAATTAATCAATTAACCTTTTTTTGTTAAAGAATTTTATTTTTTAAGCTTTTTTTATCCTGAAAAAGGATTATATACTTTTCAATTTATTATTTTCCTATTCAATTTAGTTTATCTTACTAATAACCGTATATTATATAATTACTTAATGTAATACTTTAATAAATAACTTTTTTTATTTGCATTTTTATATTTTATATTATCATATAAAATTTTATAGTTTAATAAAATTATTATATTACTAATAAAATCTATAAAAATTTGAATATACAATTCATAAAATTAACAAAAATTAGAATATAAAAAATCATTAAATTACAAGTAAAAATATAAAATTACTATAATAATAGATTATCAGATAGTAATATTTAGTAAATGACTTAAAATGACAAATAATTTAAATAATATATCATTTGTTATTTGATCAATATTGTATATTATATAAAAATTTATTATTTATCTTACTTATTCATAGTAATAAAAATCAAATTATTTTAAAAAATTAAGTTTTATGTTTTATATGTAATAAAATTTAAAAGTCATATATATATATTTATTTGATCATATAATATTATATTATGTAATTGAAAAGAAAAAATTATTACAAAAGAAAATTAAATATGTATAACATATAGAATAAAATTTCTCTTTTTAATAAATACTTTAAAAATAAAATAAAATATATTTGAAAAAATAATCTTCATACTTAATTTTATACTAAAATGATGATTTTTGTTTAAAGCTAAGTATGTAATCACAAAATTAAAATATTTCATATAATTATTTTTCATCTTCAGTAATAAATGTCATATCTATAATTGTGAAAAATTATTATTGCAAAAAATATATTCACTAAATTTTATAAATATTGAGTTTATAAGAATAAGTTGTAAAAGATATACAATTTAATTTATAAAAAGATACTTAATATATCTAAATCTAATTTTATATTATTTAAAAGGAAAATTAGAAATGCAAATAGTTCATTAATATTTAGTAACATTTTTCTTTTAAGAAGTGAATTTACCTCATTTTATAATTTTCTTATTGGTATAAAAATAATCAGAACTAAAAAAAAATATAAAGATGCTTAAACTTTAAATCTTTTCTTTATTTCATTTGCAGAGTAAACTCTCAATATCTCTTACAAATTATATAATCTTCTATTTTTTTTTGACAAACTACATTTTTTATAAAACTTATCTATTTGTTATTAATAGTTTAGACATAGTCCTAATTAGTTCAATTCTAACTAATAACCTAAAAAAAGAAAAAATATTAGTATTATTTTCTAATGCTATTAGCATTTCCTCATATATTATACACTATTTACTAGCTATTAAATCCAAGAAGAACTATCCAAAAATGTCTAAAAATATTCAAAAAACCTAAAAAAAAATATTAAATTTACTTTGTAATAACATTAATATTACTTACTTACTCAAGAAACTTACTAATTAAAATAAAACTATTTAAGAATTGTCTAAAATCTATTTAAAGTTATTTAAAAAGTTTTTCTAAGAATAAAGAAAAAAAAAATGTTAGTAATGTTTCTAAAACAAAAAAAATAGACTGATTCTTATTTATTAAAATACCATTTTAAAGTAAACATTATTTTTTAAAAAAAGATTTTTTTTAAAAATGATTATCACTAAATCTGATTAGAATCCTATTTTGTTTTTTCCTTTGTAAGACTTACTGATCAATCAATTCAAGATTTAATAAAATTTCTGAAATCTGTAAAAAGTTAAAAATATTTATTTATTTAATTAAAAATTTATTAATATCTCCTTGATTAGTGATATCTGACAAAACTACTTTTCTTAATATGATGAAGTTGACAAAACTGAAATAATGAAACTGGTTTTTTATAAATAATAAAACTACTTTACTTAATTGCTAAAATTATATTTAACTTTATTTGAATTCCTTAAATTAAAAAAATATTAAAAAATATCCCTTAAATTGTAGAGTTTCACAAACAAATTTACCTGCTTATTTACTATAAATTCTCATATGATTTACTTTTATAAATAATTAATATTTTTAAAAAAAAAATTTTTTTAAATTAATTATATAAATATATAATATATTATAATAAGTTTTATCTTTTAATTATATAATAA